ATAGCCATGTGATGTGAGTATCAGTCACATGGAAGCAGTGCTTAAAAGCCTGAAATTTGCCTGAAACTCTCAGACTGAAGAAGTCTCTTGGAGGAGAGACGAAACGTTTCATTAGAGAAGAACCCGTCCAGAGGACCTATACATTTTTTTTCTTTTTGAGTTCTGCTTATATTCTTTCCTTCTGTTTCTTTTGCTTTTCAATTTTTCATAAATATTTTCTGATCTTGACAGCAGAGATCAAGAAGCTGAACAGATGAGTTCCAAAATCTCATCATTCTAGCATCTTCTTTCACTAAAGGTCATGAGTTGAAAAATAAATGTCCAAACAGCACTGTGGGAACTTTCAGTAACGGCTTTATTAAATTAGTGCAAAAGACAGACATAACTCATTCAAAATGTCATTTTTTTTGTTTATGTTGGTCTTCCAAACGAACCCATACACGCTAAGTTCTTCTGATGAGCGCAAGAGAAAAAAGGCAAAACTATCCACCAAAACCACAGTCTGTGTTTTTTTTTCTTCTTCTTACACAACTTCTTATGACTTGTAATGAAGGATGGAGAACAGGGGAGGCAGAACTGATGGGAGAGAGAAATCAAACCTAAACACGAAAAACAGTCAACAAAACAACACTCCTGATTGTGCAATTAAACACAGTTTAAAAAAAGGAAAAAAAGAAGCACAACAAAACCCAAAGGATGTCACGATAAAATAATAATAAAAAAAGAAACACACCAATAGCTTCAGAAATTAAATCTAAATTCCCAGAAAAAAAAGTGTTTTTCCTCATTTTAATTTTATTTACTCTGTGGGAGATCAAAAAAAACTTGCAAATAAAGTACATAAGTTAATCAATACTGTATATTTATACAATGGTAAAAAATAAAATATTTATTTAATAGTACTTTTTTTTTAAAGTTTTACACCATTACTGTAAAGATATACTGTTTTCCACTCCATGACAAAGAACGCAATAAAAACTGAAGCAAATCGAAGAGAMAACTCCAGAGAGTTTCTTCCTTTGAAGGCTTATGGCTACAACCTTGTCCTAAAAGACCACAACCACTGCTTACAAAAGAAAACGTGCTTTGTTCTCTTGGCTTAAAGAAGGGGAAACGAGATCAAACACAATCTGTGACAARAAAGCAAAAGAACACGTCCAAAAAAAATAAATAAAATAAAGTCAATGCTCTTCACTGAGCAGGGCAGCAGCTCGGCCTGCGCAGTTTTACCTGGCCTGGAGGGAGACGGAGCGAGGTCAACAGATGGACAGGTGAGAAGAGCTTTAATGTCTATGCAAGGGGGTGGGGCTGGGGTGAGGGGGTGAGGGGCAGCTAACATAAAAGACGGAGCTATGAGGGGAGAAAAGAGGGGAAGAAAGTACAAGTTAAAACTTCCAGTTGAACTTCGGAGGTTTATGCTGTGGTTTTATATGAAATACAACTCTAGTATGTTTTTTTTTTTACAATATCAATATACATGTTGTTTCAAGTATCTCCTACAGTGGCAGGTTGCCATTAACACCGCTAACATCCAGTATATGCCTGTCAGTGCAACAGAGAAGTCCCAAAATAAAACACAGTGAATACGGGAAAGAGAAAAACGAAAGAAAACGGAGGTCAGTGTTGGACGAACTGATTGGACAAAACAAGAAACAAGTCAGAGAGGAAAAAAAAAACAACTCGGATGAGAGACGACTGAGGTAGAAAAGGACAAATGTAACAAGGAAAGATGAAGAGGAGGAGTCAAGAGAGGATAAGTGAAAAGTCATTGAAAAAGAAAAAAAGACAACAACGTAGTGGTGTTACACAGCAAATGTGCCAGAGGGGATTTTTGTGTATTTGCTTGTTTGATTGGTCGAGGAGAAAAGATTTCTTCTTGCTGCGTCTTCTTTCTTTTGTCTTCTCTCCTAAGCCCGGGTGGTGTGGGGAAGGTAAGTTGTTGATTTTCAGTGTTGCAAAAAGGGCTTTGAGAGAATTTAGCAGAATCTACAGGCCTGGTGGAAAAAGAAATGAACAGGACAGGAAGGACGTGGGTGGGGGGGGGGGGGGACGGGGGGATTGAGAGGGAAAAAGCAAGAAGAAGAATCAGTGTCACCAGTGAACAAAACAGAATCCATGTSAAGAAAACAAGTGAYTTAACGTTTCATTTCTAAAGGTTAACTTAAAGTGTCCGTGACATCAAATTTTTGTAATAAACATGAATGCATTTTTGGAAAGACAACACTGATAACATGTTGCAAAACAAATTTCACATCACTGAGATAAACGGTTGTTGAGATAATTGCATGTGAAGAAACAGGAAGTGATGTCAAAGGGGAATGTCTGCATGTGAACAGAGTGTAGAGAATAATCGGATGTTTCTTTAGATTATTTTAGTTGCYATTAAAGAGAGATAAAGAAGAGTTAAWGTTTAAATAATTTTGTTTTAATAAAAGAGACCAGTGAGTTTATTTTATTAATGACTTCACCTTTGATGTCACTTCCTGTTTCACTTTGGCTGAGCCAAATTCAAAYGMAAGTAGRCCAGTTATGTRACAAAAATGAGAGAAATCMTGTGTACYATGCCAATTTTCTTAAGTATAAAGATGCTTTCTTTGACTCTTTGTATTTGAAGGATWGAMATGTCACAGGCACTTTAAGGGGCAGCTATAGAGATGTGCAACAAAATAATGTGCAAAACCTGGAAGACAGATTTGCAAAGATCCACATCAAATTCAGAATCAGAATCAGAAATCAGAAACACTTAATTACCACTGTCAGCAAGTTACAGACTAGGAAATTGCTCTGGTACTAACTGGTGTAACTAAATGAAACAAAGTGGTTGAAGTGAGGAAGGAAAACAAGTCAAGTATTAATAAGAAGAAGGAAGATTTTAAAAAATGCAAGCGTGACCGGCTGTGTTGCACCAGAGCTGTTTAACCATTGTTCATTAGTTTAATGGCTGACGGGGGAAAAACTGTTCTTGTGGTGGGAGGTTCTGGTTTGAAAATAAGTCACGATTTAAAAAAAAACTGGTTGTACAAGATGCAGCCACACGTCTTGGTCATTGTTTGGTGAATAACATACAGCTGAAAATTCACAACTTTTCTTGAAATTTGCTCAGAATTTTGTATCTCCAGCTACTGTTTATCATCTCATCTCGTAGAAATGTTTAGGAAATGTAAACTTTGTGAGAAATAAAAGAGACATATCCTGCTTTTAAATCCCTCTTTTTCACATTTAAATCTTTCAGTTGGAGTCTAAAGTGGAACTGCAATGCTTTGTTCTGAATTCCTCCTTATTGTAACTCTACAAGCTCCTCTTTCACCCCTTTTCTGTGGTGTGTCTCAGATCAGCTCGTTTTGAGGCTGTCTCTTTAAATCCAAATGAGGCGCTTCCCACCTCGCCCCCCCTCCAGCATCCAGACTGGTCCACTCCAGTTTGATAGAGGGGTTTACAACTATATAACTGCACAAAAACATTTTTATTTACAAATGAATTAAAATATGTCCACAAAGAAAGACTTGTCCATCCAGCCTTACATGTTGGAGCCAGAATCTGACCCAGAGCCAGAGGAGAATGAAGACCACCAAATTGTAGTTGTTAAGTCCAGATATTATTATCTGTCCTAAAAACTTTGATGTAAAAGTTCAGAAAACGGCTTGACGGCTTGAACAATGTGACCCAAACAGAATATAAAGATATCTTAGCTGCACAATGCATTTAATAGATAAAAATTTGTATTCAAACCCTCAAAATCTTACATGTCAACCCCTCAAGATGTTCACCTGTAATTTGACCCTCAAAAATCTGCGATTTTCACAAAAGAAGCGCATTATTCACTCATGATATAAAGGTGGTGGTGGGGATTTAATTTAGTATACTTATTTTATGTCACACAATCTGTGACAGAAAATAAGTCTGGAGGTTTTTTTGTGAGATTTGAAAAAAATCCACACGACTCCTCAGTACGTATACTTGCGAAATGGGGGGAAATCTCTGTAATTTGTGGACAATCACTACAACTTGACATGTATGCAAATTATATGTAGAAATATTTTGCAGGGTCATAAAGAAAGTGACAGTTGGTCTCTTCTGGGTGGTACAAGTGTTTGCAAAGAGCTACTCTGAAATTTGAGGAGGTGACACACACACACACACACACACACACACACACACACACACACACACACACACACACACACACACACACACA